CTGTGGTACTGCTTGCTTTGGTTAGGTTCAATGTTGAACCACAACGTTTGTGGTTTGGCACAAGAGACTAGGGCATAGGAAGTCATAGACTTGGTATTATAGATAGAAAGAGGATAGAAACAGTGAAAGCTAGATCTAGTTGGCTAACAATAGTCGTGATTCAATGATTACGTCCATGATTAAACACGTCTACTGTTAGCCAAATAGCTCTAGTCTCCACCTGTTTATCTGTAACAACATGTCTATCACTTCCTATATCCTAGTCTCTTGTGTACCAACCCACAATTGTCGTGGTTCTACTTGTTTTGATTAGGCTCATTGAAGACGTCTCCTCTTTTCTTCTGATTGTTCCTTTCTCGTCCCCCTATGATCTCTTTTCTTAAAATTAAGGATATTACCTTGATCCAATCGTCCTCTTTTTGCTGATCTTACTGTTGTCTAATCTTCTCTGAGTTTGCTTAGGCAATATGCAAAGTTTTCGCTGATCCTGCCTTCTTCAAGTCTTCTGTTCATTAGATTTCTCTCTGTCAGTATATCGATGGCCTCTTAGATCTTACGTTTTCTCGTATTTTCACCATATGCAGCTAACCTTTGATCAATTTAGTGCCCCGTTCGTGCAATGTATGATTTATATATAATCCTTGTCTGATTGAACATCATCGCGATTACTTAAGTCATTATCGGACTTATTGATCAACCTGATACATATATGCTACTTTCTTTTTCTAATCAATCCACGTGAATTATTTTCTGATTCACAATTTTTACCACCCAAATTTAATTATGTCCACGTTTCTGAACAGGTGATATCCTCATTCAGCTCCTTGAGTCACTGCTGCACGATGACTCTGGCATCACAGATCTGCATCTGGCCAACCAACGTCAATCAGTGCTCGGAGTCAAAGTAGAACAGGCTCTAACACGTCTGGTTCTCGAAAATCCGCGGCTAATTCGACTTGGCATGGATTTTGATACGGCACATGCCAGAGTCCAAGTTCGCGAGCACCTTAAGCAAAACATGGACCGTGCCACTCGTTTATCGAGGAAGCAATAGTTCATCTTATAACATCACGCTTTTACACCTCACTTAGGGCCTTTTCATTCGAAAACCTAGTTCTCCTTTCTTGCATTACTGCCTACTCTTTTCGTTTCTATTCTTAGTTATGATAATGTTTACGATTTAGTTTCCCCTGTG